CTCCATAGGTTCTGTGCTGGGAGGGGGTGACGTGGGGGCAGAGCCCAGCCCTGTGCGACAGGCATCTGGAAGACGACAGGCTGGGGCCAAGGTCAAGCATCATTTACAAGGAAGCCGGTCATCTGGGGAGAGAAGGCGATGCCCCTGGCCGGCCCCCTCCGCCTCCCGCGGGGGCCTGGGTGGCTGTGTGCAGGAGGCCAGGGCCACACTCGCTGCCGGCGGGCGGGGCTCCCGCTGGCTGTTTTGTTAAGAATCAGGTCTGTGACTTCTCGGCTCCTACAGGTTGCTCTTTGAACGTGGCCAACGGCGCCGGGGTTCACGGGCTGGCGTGACGTCGGCCGCAGTTCCCCGTCGGCCGCAGTTCCCCGTTCGGCAGACAGGTCGAGAGGGAGCCCCCTCCGCCAAGCTGAACGCCTGGAGGCCGAGCCTCCACACAGCAGTGTTTTCTTCCATTCGCCCAAAGGGCTGAAAACACAAAAGTCAGGTGACTTCTGATCACAGAGCTGCTGCGCCCATCAGCCATTCACAGCCAGCTGGCCGCAGGTCACGCCCCGCCCCCAGCGGCCTTCAGCCAGTTCTCCAGAGCCCTCGCCCCTGCCCCCTCCCGTGCCCCGGACCCGGACCCGGACCCTTCCCACCCAACAGACCCCCATTTACCTTAGTTAAAATAGAAATAAAAGTAAAAAGAGCCACCGCTGCCAGCTTGCTCCAGAAAGCTGAGCTCGGCTGGGGCTCTGCACAGGTGACACACACCTCAGGGCACTTCGTCAAGGAAAGCCAGCTACCCTGGAAAACAAGGCACTGTCTCCAGGGGCAAATCGCCTTCTCTGTGGCAGCTGATAGGAAATGCCTTTGATCAGAGAAGACCTTGCTGCTCACCACACCTCCCTGGGGTCAGGAAGTGGCCCCCAACCTGGGCCACCCAGCAGGAGGTTCCAGGGGACTGGAGACACTGGTTGCAGCACTTGGGGCTGGCAGGGCACCCTCACCACTAGCACAGGCTGTGTGCAGATGGTCAGCACAAAAACAGTGTTCATCTTGTCTACCGTCAAGTCACCGCCAGATCCAAATCCAAATGACCCGTCCTCTCGGCCTTCCTACAGTCACTCCTGGGGTCCCCTGCTGGGGCCACCCACCCCGGCTGGGACACCTCTGGCTTTGGGACGCTACAGCCCTTCCCACGGCAGTATTTATAATTCAGTAAGCCTGAACTGGCTGCTGCTAAAGACAGAACTGCTCCTCGCCTGAAAGAAATTACTTTTTTTTTTTTTTCCGTCAGCGGCGATCACTTTTTACAATACATTCTCGTCCAAGCAGTGTTTCTGGTTTATGCTGACAAGACAGAAAGAGCTGCAGAGCCACTGCTGTGGTCGCTTATTATTTTAGGGTCTGCAGAGAGCCCCACGGTCCTGCGATCGCCAAACAGCACTCTTCACTGCCGGCAGCCAAGCTCCGGGCCGCCCGAACCCACGGACTTCCATCGTAATGAAAGCGCCCTAAAAAACTGTGCCATGCTAAACACGCGGCTGCGCTCAGGCCCGGTTCAGGGGGACTGGTGTCGTGTTTCTCTGAAAGCACCTCCTCCTTCACCCTTTGGGCAAGGGCTGCACTTCCATTGCCCAGCAGGGATGGAGACGCCCCCCACCCCCGCCCCCAGGACCCCTTGGTCCCGGACGGAAAATCTCTGAGCATTAACAGGACTACATTGGGGCTCAATCTGCTACAGATCCTTTCTCGACAGCACTTAATTCCACTTTGGCCGCATTCGGGGCTGGTCGAGGTGCCCACCCCAGGGAGGGCAGGGGCGGGGAGGACGGGCAGAGGCAGCTGACGGTCATTTCTAAGGCCTCGGCCCTCCCGGCTCTGCCAGGAATTAAGTCCCAAGACCAGAGGCCACGGGAAGGCTCCCCTCCCTTTCTAGAAGCATCTCCTTTGTTTGCAGGATGTGGTCTGCGAAACTAGGAAAGCAGCAAACTGGGGGGGAACGGGGAGGTGACGGACAGAGTGACAAAGCTCCTGGAGCGAGAGCCCCGGAACCGCGCGGGGAACAGGCAGCGGGAAACCGGCTCCGCCACTCGCGAGCTGAGGCTCCCAGCGAGGCCTTCCCTGCTCTCACCAACCCCGTCAGGTTCCCAGGGAGCCGGCGAGGGTTCCCACACTGCTATTTTTAAAACTGACAAGAAACGGGCTTGTCCGACTGTCAGCCGTGAGCTCACAGACCCGGGGGCTGCTCAGGCTCGCCCCGACGAGCTGGTGCCGGTGGCACATTAGCTGCTGGGCTGGCGCCCGGCCCGGCCTGGCCCACAGTTACTCAGGGCTTCCTCTCAGCCAGCGGCTGGGACTGGAGGCAGGGGGCCTCCGGAGCCCCCCTGTTCGGGCCCAATGGTCACACCCCACCCCTAAACTCCTCCCAGGACCCCCTAAAGGGAGTCAGCCATAAGAAGCAGATCAACACAGCAGCCCCGACACCCAGGACCCTCGGAGGTGTCGGGGGCTGGGCAGCCCCTGCCTTCCCTGGTGAAGTGTGCACTCACATGGCCGGAGGGCCTGCTGTTGCTAAGGGATGGCATGAAGGCTGGGGCCAGGGCTGCAGCAGGGAGTCCCCGGCCTGCCTGGGGGCAAGCAGCCAACCAGAATCGGCCTGGCCCACACCTGTACCTGGAATGGGTCCCGATGCAATGAGCAGAGGGGGTGAAAGCAGCCCCCTCCTGCCTGGGAAGAAAAGGCCTGTGCTGGGACCGGTCTCCAGAGACGAGGGCAGGAACCTCTAAGGTTTGGTGGGCGGCTGCGGAAAGCTACTTGTCCTGTGGTCGCCCGGGAGAGGCCCGTAGGTGATTTCTCCTGTTTATTCAGCCTCCCCGCGGCAGCTCCCCACCGGGGGGTGGTCTGCCATGTTTTCCTCCGTCTCTCCCTGCCCCCCAGTTTCAGATCATGCCTAGGAAGCGCCCAGGGAGGCTGCACCCAGCACCCAGGCCCCCGCGGCCGGAGCCAGAGGTGCCACCTTCACACAGCAGGGGCCAGACCTAGCCCGGAGGGGGAGAAGGCTGGGGGCTAAAACCAGGAACCCCGGGAAACCCTAGTCCCCTCTCCAGGGAACAGTGTGCAAACAGCAGGGTGGTGACGGATGGGGACGGATGGATGGGGACGGAGGCAACGCATCAAAACAGCAGGGGGCCAACCTGCAATATTTGGCAGGGTGGGAACAAAAACTAGCCAGGACTCTGAAGACTGCAGTGCAGCACCCCCCCTTCTACTCGCCCCTCCTCCCCACCCCAAACCTCAGCGGGAAGAACACACGTCTTAGGAGAAGCTCAAGCTGAGTCCAGGCAATGATTAAGCTACAGGCAGGGGGGTGACGGATGCGGACGGATGGGGACGGATGGGGACGGATGGGGACGGATGGGGACGGAGGCAAACGCATCAAAACAGCAGGGGGCCAACCTGCAATATTTGGCAGGGTGGGAACAAAAACTAGCCAGGACTCTGAAGACTGCAGTGCAGCACCCCCCCTTCTACTCGCCCCTCCTCCCCACCCCAAACCTCAGCGGGAAGAACACACGTCTTAGGAGAAGCTCAAGCTGAGTCCAGGCAATGATTAAGCTACAGGCGTTTTCTCTGACCATCTTCTCAACCGGAGGAGCCTGCCGTGCCCGGCGGCAGAGAGCAGGTGAACAGCTTCCTGCTGGGCGATGCTGACCTCCACCTAGCCGCCCAGTACGTGCCACCACCTGCCTGGCTGGGGCAGGGCAGGAAAGACTTCCAGTTAAAGGACAAAACACTTTTCAACCAGGCTATGCAAGATCACAAGTGACCCGCCTCAAGTGGAGAAACCCTACCTCCAACGGGGCCACCCAAGAACCGAGGGCCTGGTCGCTGGAAATAACAGATTCCACAGATGCAGGCCGATGAGTCAGCCTGGGGACCGGCTTGTCTGCTGGTGGGAAAACCTCCACCGATAAATAAGACTCACTTCCACCGCAAGGCTCCACCAGGCAAAGGTGCCCAAGCGCGGAAAAAACATCCCACTGGTGACAGTCTCACCTCTCAGGATCTAACCACCCACCCCGGCTGGCAGTCAAAGCAGTTTGCATTTCAACAAAATAACCGCAGCGCCTCTCCGGGTCCGAGGAGGCCCCAGGATCCGCCGACAGTGAGGGAAGAGCCTGTGCAGCGCCACAAGCACCTCGCCCTCGACTTGTCACTGATCTACTGCAGTTCCCCCAAAAACACTGGCTTTCAGGCTTACAGCAAAAAGCCACCATCTACTGCATGACCTCCTAGGCCAGGACGAAAACACGCAGGCCTCTTCTTCCCAAGCGGGTTCATCCCTGCATACGGGGGCAGCACGCTGCCGTCCTCTGTCCCCTAGTCCTGGGGACACACACAGCTACCTGGGGCATCGCCACCGTCCTACAGTGAAAAGATGCCCCATCACTCAACACCCCGAGGATCAGAAACCCCGTCTCTGAGACAGCAAAGGCTGGGCGGGGCTGGAAAGGAGCTGCTCTTCGGGGTCTGTGTGTGCCGGGGCGGGTGTGCAAGGGGGCTCTCCGTACAGGACGCAAACCCAACAGAAGGCCCATACAGAACGCAAGCTACACCCAAAGATAAGTCATTTAAATGTGCTCGATCGAAGCGTGCGTATAAATTATTAAAACGCAACCGCAAACAGTGAAAAACGAACCGAAGAGAGGCCTCCCAGACCCCCCTTCCACCCCCACGCTCGGAATTATGCACAGACCACAAAGGACCGACCGAAAGTAACCGAGGCGGCCGCACGGCCGGGCCAAGCCGGTGCTTCCGACCGAAATAATTACCGTCTTACGCCAATTTGTGCCCCAGCATAAATTACTAAGTAAGTCGAACGGAGCCTCACTCGCTCACAAAGCCCGGATCCCCACACGGCAATTTCCTAAGCCGCGCGCAGACCGCAGCGCCCAGGTGGGTCTCGGGCGGGCCGGACGCGCCTCCCAGGGGCGCTCGCGACCCCCAAACGCACGCCGCACGGCAGCCAGGTGACACGGCTGGGCACTTTCCAAGGTCTGGGGCAAATGCGGACCCCCGAGGTCCCCGCTGGGAGCCGCGGCCTGGGGGCCGGGCGCGCGCAGCTGCACAGGGAGCTCGCCAAGCCCCGCGCCGCGCGCACCCCGCCGGGGCTGCGAGGCCTCGCACGCAGGAAAAGGGGGGCCCTCGGAACCCGAGCGCCGCGACCCCGGCCCGCCCCCGCCGACCGCCCGGGCCGCTGACCTGTCGTCGACGTGCAGGCTCGGCGAGCACTTGATAGCGAGCCACGTCTTCCAGTGGACATGGCGCACCTTGTACACCTGCCCGAAGCCGCCCGAGCCGACCTTCTCCCAGCCCGCGAACTCGTCCGCCTCGAAGGTTCGCAGAAGCCCCAGGGCCCACGGGCTCCCGCTGTCGCCCTCCATCGCGCTCCTCTCGCCGCAGACCCAGCAGCGCCGAGGAGCGGCGACCGCCCAGGTGCTCAGGTGTGCGCCCCGCCCGACGACGTCACTTCCGCCGCCGGCCCCGCCCCCGGGAGCCGGGCCCCTGAGGACCCACCGAGCAGGGGCGCGCGGGGTGCTGAGAAGGGCTGGGCGCGCAGCCGCTGTCCCGCAGACCCGCGCTCGTTGACATCGTTGCGGAGTGCGTGCGTGCGGTGGCGGGAAGTAACTCGCTGTTTTCCCCCGCGCCGCCACTTCTCAAAACTTGGCAAAACAAAAAGGAACAAAGAGGATATTACACCGTGATATGGACTTTGATACCATCCACTGATCTTATTCGGATGTCTCCAAATTTACCTGTCCTCGCTTGCGTGTCTTAGGTTCTACACGCGTTATCCCCTGCGTGGGTTCGCGTCTCCACGCTGAACATTCCGTCACGCACAGACCTCCTGTGGCCCTTTGAAGCCGAACCCCCAAACTCTGACCCTCACTGATCATTCCTCGATTTCTAAACGTGTGTTATTTCAAAAATTTGTTGTATTTGCACACAGAAATCATCTAGTGTGAGAGGTCTTTGGGAATTGCTTTTTTCACTCAGCATAATCCCTTGGAGATTCATGTCTCTTTTTTACACTGAAGTTTTCACTTCGCAAGTAACTTTTTAAAGCCCAACAGCAAGTCTAAAGTCCGCCCCTCCGTTCCAAAGGCAGCGGGGATTCCCTCCTCCTTTCCTAGAAAACAGCGTCTTTTCACACGCAAAACAGAATGCTGGAGAAAGGAAGGGTGTTTTTCCACCTCTGAGGAAAAACAAGTCCCCAGCCTGAATGCACCCGCACTCTCAGATATCTGGGTCAGAGGCTGAGCAGTGTAATTGCAGACTTTCGTGCCTAAAAACCACTCATTCCTGTGAGTCTGTACGGTGAGCAAAGGCTTATTCCTGGCTGACTGAGGTGAATAATGAGGACTGGATGGGGAGAGAAAAGGGGGAGCATTTGAATGACATTAACTGTATCGTTGTGTTAGTCACCCCAAAAGGAGAGGTTTCTTAGCACGCACATGGAAGTCTCAGACATAGCTTCTGCAGCCCTTACCTTCCACCGGGTACATAATCATCTTATTTTACAGCCAATAATCGAGCTCCGAGTCTGCTTTGTTAACAGCCCTCCCCTGGCCACTGGAGCTCCCATTCCTGGGTGCTCACTGGTGGGAACGTGACAGGGCTTGCCCCGGCCGCTCAGGCAGACCAGGCAACCTCGTCCTTTGCCACATAATCTTGCTATCGAAATTGATCTTCCTGAGACTGGAGTGGCAAGTGGTTATTTCAACCTTGTTTGTAGCAAAGGTAACTAGCATTTGAACTAACATTTTTTAAGATAATCAAGATTTTGAATCTATAAAGATAACTTGAAAGTAAACACTGTCATTACTTAGGTGGAAAAAAAATGAATTGACTACAAGTGCATCATGCACACCGTTTCCTAGGTTCGGGGCGGGCACTGTTCTCCAGACTCTGCAGACTCGAGTCTCAGCTACATGGCGTTGAGCAGCATAGGGGACCGACAATGCTCACCAGTCTAAAACACCCCAATTCCGTTTATTTAGCCACCTGCGTGCTTTGCTCGACAAATATTGATGGAGTATCTGCTGTAGGCCCCCCGTGGCCAGGGAACCAGGGACCACAGAGACCTCGACACCAGCCCTTACCTGCAAACAGAGAAAGGACAAAGATCACAGGTGGCCAGGGCTGGGTGGGGCTGGCCCGGCTCCTCCCCTGGACTTGGCTGTGTTCCCGGCACAGGCCCCTCACCCCTCTCTGCAGTCAGTTTTTTAATCCGTTAAAGGAAAACAAAGTTCCTTTCAGAAATTGTGAAGACAGGAGGGGTTTTAAACCTTCTGGGATTATAGGAGAGTAATTGTTATTTATGTCGATGGTCATTGGTCATTGGCAGGTAAGGTGACATTTCCAAGAATAAAAGGAATTTCCAGTGGCAAAAACTTAATAATTATTTTAGTGTTGTTTATTTTATAATGCAAGGGGATAAACCTTCATGATTACTCCATGGCCATCCAGGAAAGCCCAAAGAGTGTTCGGATTTAGAAGATATCTTCCCATTTTTGAGAGAAAACTTGGTATCACGTTATGAGGCTAAAATGTCTACAGAGAAGAACATATTTAGTCTTATTTTGTTGTGCAGACAGTTAACAAAAACACATAGCAAGTAACAGTGACAGACTAGGTGAGAAAATTTTAAATGAACACAGCAAATCATTTGGTTGGAATGATTTAATCATTTAAAAGGCGCAAAAGATAAAGATCTGTCATTTTTGAACTATTTTAATACTTGTAGGCTTTTTTAAAAAAAAAAATCCTAAAATAGCAATTACGTATGAAATTAAGCATCTATAAATTGAAATTGAAAGCTTACAGCGTTAGCTTTAAAATACAATAAATCTTATCGGAATATTAAATACGGCAAAATGTATATTAAATTTTCCATCTTAACGAGCTGTAGCAATCTTCTTAATAAACAAAGAAACCTTGTCCATAATTTTGTAAGCATTCATAGTCTCCCAAATGATTGAGCCCACAACAGTGTCAATAACTTCTATCAATGAAAACTTTCATTCAAAGCATAAAGTTTCACTTCTAATACATTTTAGGTAAAAATAGAAGTGGACTGGTTTAAAGAAAAATATGATGCTATATGAGTTCACTTACATGTGGAATCCAAAGAACAAAATAAAACAGACTCATAGGTTAAGAGTAAACGCGGCTATCAGACGGGAGGGCTGGGTGAAAAAGGATTAAGGTGTGGGAGTCGGGAGTCACACAGTAGTCATGGGGGAGGAAAGGGGGAGGTGGGGGCGGCGTGAAGCACGGCATAGGGAATAATCCCGTCGTCACTGCGTATGGTGCCGGGTGGGTGCAAGACTAATGGGGCAGGGGAGAAGCACTTCTTCAATTAGATAAAGGTCTAACCACTGTGCTGTACGCCTGGAACTAACCTAATATCGAACATCAACTCTAATTGAAAACTTAAAATTTAAAAAAAATGAAAATACGAGACTGATAGTGCAATTTTGCATCTCCTCGCACATGGCGAGGAGGCCCTCGGGGAATGAATGCGACATCTGTGACGTGCCAGGGTGGTCTGCGCCAGGAAATGGGTCGGCGCAGATCCAACAGCTGCTAGCGTGGAGCCCCGAGAGGAAGGAGGGCCAGCGGGGAGGGCAGTGCCAGCCGCCGGGCATCTGCGGACCTCTCCCCTAAACCTTCCCCAGTGCGCTTGCTCCTGCCTTGGGCACTGGACCGCACGTCTCAGTAGGCGCCCCTCTTGTCCAGGTCGCCAGGTGTGCCCGGCTCCGAGGGGCTGTCCCCTTCACGTGGCCGTTTAGCACTGCGCGCTGACCCTGCCGACCTGGGCCAGGGCCGGGAGCTGCCTCCGCGCCCCGCCGTGGGGACCGGACCGACCCTGCCGGCCGAGGAGAGTGCAGGTGCGCGGACTCTGCCGGGCGGGCCCCGGCACGGTGGCCGTGGGCGCGTTCGCCAGTCCCCGACGCGGGGCGTGGGGGGTCCCTGCTCAGAATGACCGCGGGGCTCCAAGGAGACGGTGCGCCTGGCGTGCACCAGGCGAGCATAACTGTGCCGGCCATTGTCACGTCTGGTGGGCGTGCTGCTGAGCGAGGTGTAACCCATCTTTGTCCTCACGGTCCCGGAGCAGCCCGCGGGGCGAATGGCTCGCTTCGGGCCTGCAGCCAGCTTGGGACTGACGGAGCTCCGGACTTGGAACGAGGCCAGCCCCTCGAGGGTCCTCCCGCTG